ATTACATTTTATGTTTTGTTGAATCCTTGTTGAATCATCCAATATTATATTCAAGTCCATCTCAAAGAGCTATTTAGAAACTAAAAACATCTTCAAAACAAAAATTATAGATCCTTAATTAGTTGAGCAAGAACACAGAGGCTGAAAACTTCAGAAAGCTTTCTTTACAAGTCTTTTAAACACAATATTTCACTGAACTATGTGTAACAATATAAAACTTTTATTTCATTTTTAAAACGGTAGCATGTGTTAAGTCATGTTGTTGTATTGAATCCTGTAAAACTAATAAAAACTTTGAAAGCAGATATTCCATTTTGTACTGAGGGTAATTTGCTATTAAAGCATTCTAAAACACCACCTAATGTTTCTTTGTTTTCTGTTACCTCATCTACCTTTGATTCCAAAATTTCAAATAGTATGCTCAAAGTTTACATATTTTCAAAAAATATCCTGATTTGAGTGAAAAGTGGGCATGGTGTTCTTTCGGTTCTAAAACAGGAATACAAGTAATCCTCAATTTACAACCACAATTGGGAATCAGAATTTCTGTTACTAAGCAAGGCAGTCTTAAATGAATAATGCCCAATTTCATGATGTTTTTTGCCATGATTCTTAAGCAAATTACTATAATTGTTAAGTGAATCACGTGGTAGTTAGGCAAATCTCATTTCCCCTGTGGACTTTGCTTGTGAGACACTGTCTGAGAAAGCCGTCACATAACCCTGGGATGCTGCAACTGTTGTAAACATATACCAGTTGCCAAGCATCCAAATTTTGGCCATGGGGGTGTTGTGATGGTTGTAAGTGCAAGGATTGGTCGTAAGTCACTTTTTCAGTGTTATAATTTTGATGGTTCCTAAATGAATACTTGTTAGTCAAGGACTATCTGTACAGTATTCCAATTTTTTACCCCATCCTAACAAACTGATAGCCTAGGAAAAATTGCAGACTACAGGAACCAGGACCACTACTCAGGTGACCCTGAGGACACAGATAAACCTCCAAGTGCTTCAGACCTATGGCTAAATGGCTAAAAGGATGCAGATTGCCAGTTGTCTGCAAGGAATATAAATCCTTCCATTCCCCACTATCCTGTCAGAGCTAAAGAAGCTTCTTGGATGAGAAGGGAAACATCTTCAAAAGAAAAAACAAAGTCCAGTTGCCTCCTGAAAAAGCATCTTTGGGACAACCATGACCTGGATGACTAATAGATGAAACTGCTGGCATAAGAGATGTCATATGCTCAGAGCTGAACAATTTAAATCATCTGATGTGCCCCCAAATAGTGGACACATACAATCTTGAATGCTGGTAGAGGGGGTCATAGTATCTTTGTACAATTGTTTACGTTTTAGGGGAAGATTTTATATGTACTCAAATTTTGCTAGAGTGTAGCATTAAGACAAAGAAAGGCTTTCCATTCCACAGGGTAGAATTAATCATCTAGTATAGCAGAGGAGAATCTAAATTGAGCTACTGAATACCAAATGTGGGAGGGGAGAAGGCAGCAAGAACAGCAACAGCCCATCATTCCTACGCATCGTCCTCTTCATGATGCTGAGACTCAGCAGATGGCAAGTGGGATTCAGACAGCAGATTTGGTGACATGTCTCAACTAGTAAAGTAACTAACCTCTGGATGTGTGTGTGTGTGGAAGGATATTTGGCTTTGTTTTCCAACTCACATATTTTTTGCAATCTGAATGCTACAAAGTTGGTATTTTGCAATTGTGCTTTTATGTCTATATGTAAAGGGACAACTTCAAAGGACCAGTCAAATGGCTGGCTATATAGAAGAAGCAATTGCTGTAAAGTCTACCAAATGGAAATAGGAGAGGTTCCTGCATATGGCCATGTCAGTGGATATATTCTCGTCCATTTCTCTTTTAGAATGAAATGCCTAGTAAAAAGACTAGCACATGTAATTGTTATTTTTTCCCTTTCTTATCATAACCAAACAAACTGATTCAAATGCCTTGCAATTTCTTGTGGAACTAACCATTCCATAGCCTATTATGGGTTTAAAAGCCCCAATATATCCAGGCTAGTTTAAACAATAGCACACTTTTGCCATTGCTGTGCTAGAAAATGTTAAGATACTGTACCAGATTCTGCACCATTCCAGAGTTCAGGAATACATTAATTATACTTCTCTTGTTACAGTTTTATGCCCAACTGTTTTAAGGAGCCTTGATGTTAAAATGTTGGGATCTATACAAATACTACTCTTCAACCCTCATATATAACATCATATACACTGCTCAAAAAAATTAAGGGAACACTTAAACAACACAATGTAACTCCAAGTCAATCACACTTCTGTGAAATCAAACTGTCCACTTAGGTAGCAACACTGATTGACAATCAATTTCACATGCTGTTGTGCAAATGGAATATACAACAAACAGGTGGAAAGCATAGGCAGTTAGCAAGACATCCCCAATAAAGGAGTGGTTCTGCAGGTGGTGACCACAGACCACTTCTCAGTTCCTATGCATTCTGGCTGATGGTTTGGTCACTTTTGAATGCTGGTGGTGCTTTCACTCTAGTGGTAGCATGAGACGGAGTCTACAACCCACACAAGTGGCTCAGATAGTGCAGCTCATCCAGGATGGCACATCAATGCGAGCTGCGGCAAGGTTTGCTGTGTCTGTCAGCGTAGTGTCCAGAGCATGGAGGTGCTACCAGGAGACAGGCCAGTACATCAGGAGACATGGAGGAGGCCGTAGGAGGGCAACAACCCAGCATCAGGACCGCTACCTCTGCCTTTGTGCAAGGAGGGACAGGAGGAGCACTGCCAGAGCCCTGCAAAATGACCTCCTGCGGGCCACAAATGTGCATGTGGCTGCTCAAACAGTCAGAAGCAGACTCCATGAGGGTGGTATGAGGGCCCAATGTCCACAGGTGGGGGTTGTGCTTACAGCCCAACACCGTGCAGGACGTTTGGCATTTGCCAGAGAACACCAAGATTGGCAAATTTGCCACTGGCGCCCTGTGCTCTTCACAGATGAAAGCAGGTTCACGCTGAGCACGTGGGACAGACGTGACAGGGTCTGGAGACAACGTGGAGAACGTTCTGCTGCCTGCAACGTCCTCCAGCATGACCGGTTTGGCAGTGGGTCAGTAATGGTGTGGGGTGGCATTTCTTTAGGGGGCCGCACAGCCCTCCATGTGCTCGCCAGAGGTAACCTGACTGTCATTAGGTACCGAGATGAGATCCTCAGACCCCTTGTGAGACTATATACTGGTGTGGACCTCATGTGGCTGGAGTGTGTCAGCAGTTCCTGCAAGATGAAGGCATTGATGCTATGGACTGGCCCACCCGTTCCCCAGACCTGAATACAATTGAGCACATCTGGGACATCATGTCTCGCTCCATCCACCAATGCCACGTTGCACCACAGACTGTCCAGGAGTTGGGGGATGTTTTAGTCCAGGTGTGGGAGGAGATCCCTCAGGAGACCATCCATCACCTCAGGAGCATGCCCAGGCATTGTAGGGAGGTCATACAGGCACGTGGAGGCCACACACACTACTGAGCCTCATTTTGACTTGTTTTAAGGACATTATATCAAAGTTGGATCAGCCTGTAGTGTTTTTTTCCACTTTAATTTTGAGTGTAACTCCAAATCCAGACCTCCATGGGTTGCTAAATTTGATTTCCATTGATAATTTTTGTGTGATTTTGTTGTCAGCACATTCAACTATGTAACGAACAAAGTATTTAATAAGAATATTTCATTCATTCAGATCTAGGATGTGTTATTTTTGTGTTCTCTTTATTTTTTTGAGCAGTGTATAACCCAAAGGAACATCTGTAAATGTTAAGTGGTAGGATCTTTCTTGAAGCTCAACTAACTTGTCAACCAAATGAGAAGAGACGACTTTTGGAAAACGACCATGATGTTGGGAAAAGTTTAATGCAAAAGAAGGGCACAGCAGAGGATGAGATGGTTAAATAGTATAATGGATCCAATGAACATGAATTTGGGCAAACTCCAGGAGACAGTGGAGGATAGGCTATGGCCCATGGGGTTGTAAGAGTTGGGACACAACTTTGTAACTAAACAACAAATTCATATTTCTTGTTTTAGTGTCATAATATTTGATGGTAGTTTCAAAGACAATGGCACAGATGAGTAAAACTGAATTGAAAGGGGGTTTTCTACTTTGGATAAAAGCAATTCATCTGTAAAAGATTTCAAATATGTTGATAAACTACAAGGATTCTACAGGATTAACCTAATTGCCAATGTTTAAACACAACACTGAACAATCCCAGCAGAAATAGATAATGCCAGCAAATTGGAACAAGGGAGGGAACGACCTGTTTCTAATTCAATCTGATGGAAAGGATCGCAGAACGAGATTTAACCCAAAATAAGGCACGGGGCGCCACACGACGCTTTGGTTCCATTTTTCTCTAGCGCAGCAGGCACACTAGGACTTCTCTGCAAATACAACGGGTGGCAAATAAGAGGGTTACAAATAGAAGGTCCAACCGGCGGCTACCAGTGCAAGTCAGTTACAACGAGGAAGCCCCACGGACCAGCCAACCTAGAGCTCTGGAAGCAGGCGAGGTACCGGGATATGCCTTAAACAAAGAGACTTCCAACCGGAAATAGCCGGGACGCGAAAGCAGCGAGAGGGGAGCTGACCTCTCTCCCCCATACAGAGAGGGGCGACGGGAGGGATCCTGTGGGGGAACTCGAAGGGCGAGTGTGACATCTTCGCTCCCTCCCCCCCCCCGCCGCCGCTCCCCCGCCGCTACGCGCTCCAGGCGATAAGCGGGGGTGGGTGGGGGTGGGGAGGATGAGACTTGGGGGCGGGCGACGACCTCAAACAGAAGAAGGCAAGCAAAGGGAAACGGCGACCAACGCGCCTGGCCCGAGCCAACCTTTCCTCGCCGGGTCTCGCGAGGGCGGGCGAAGAGAAGCAGGCGGGAGCGGGAGGGGAGGGGGGGGGGGGGGGGAGTCGGTGGAAGGGAGGGACGAAACACAAAGCAGCGTCTGCTCTCCGGGACGTCGGGAGCGCCGGTTCACGCAGGATGAAAAGAGAACCGCCGGTAGCCGCGAATCTCTTTCCCTCCTGCGCCGGGACAGCCTCGGGCAACGGTAAGAAGTTTGGAAAGGCGGGAGGGGGGAAGTGAAGTTCCTTTGCATGCCCGTCAACGCGGCGTCGCTTCGCGGGAAGCCACCGACGGGATTAAGCAAGCTAGAGGGGGAGAGAGAGGAGACAACCGGGGTGGGGGAGGATTGCTGTTCCGTATTGTCCCGAACATCCATGCACACAACTGGCCCTTCTCGGATCGTAGGCAAGGCTCACCACCATCCGGCACAGAGGCTCCCGCTCAAATCCCCCAAGCTGATCCCCGCTGCAAGCTAAACCCCTCGGGGAGTCCGCGTGTGCTCCAAAGCCCTTATTCTCCCGGCCTTGCATTGTTTAGACATAGCACCCAGCGGTGGAGGGAGCAAGGAGTAAAAGCCCAGCCCAGCCACTCTCTTCTTCCCTTTTTGAATTAGCCTTGCTCTGGGTAAACAAAGGCTACCCAGGGCAAAGCTTTAAAAGAACAACCACAAAGCCCACAACCCTTCGGTGGTGGGGGGACAGAAACAATGCACCAAAAGAAAATCCTTGGTGTATTCCAGTTTTTATAAGGTTCCGAAGTCCATGATTCCCGGTGGACCCCTCATCCCAAACAAAGAGAGTCTGCTGGGTCCCCCAGAAGTCTTTGCAGCTCAGTATCCTAGCAACTCTCCAGCTTCCCTTATGTGGTCTGCCAGCCCCAAACAAAGATGCATCTTGATCTGGCTTTGTGCTAATGACAGCATTATATTGATAAGCTGATAGAGCAGCAGCCTGGGGTATAAATGGATGGACACAGCCAGGTATGGTGATAAACAGAAGGAAGGGAAGAACGCAGAGCGAGAAGAAACGGGAGACATGAGGCCATTACCATTAGCAAAACAGGATGTTTTAGGAAGACATGGCAAACGGGGTGCCTTATAAAGCTAACTGGCCTCATGCTTGGTAGTATTTGTGCTTTCTGTATTTCCCTTCCATCTGAAAGAAAAGAAAAGACAAACTTAAAGTCAAGCTCAACTCCTGTTGATAAATGATGCAGTGATTGTGGCAACAGTATGAGCATAATTTGCCATTGCCTACTTTTGATAGAGTTAGCTTAGATAGATATAAGATAGGTAAGTAGATAGATAGATAGATAGATAGATAGATAGATAGATAGATAGATAG